AAATATAGTAATAAAGTAACTCCGTTTACAACTCAGACAATAATTTGTTAATTTAGGCCCCGTTTACACTGTCAGGTCTTGATGCCCAATTCTGATTTGTTGCCTATATCTGATTTCTTTGCCTGTCCGTTTACACGTTCTTTTAATTTTAACCCATATCTGATTCTGTGGGCATGTTCACACTAGCCACGATGGAAGAAAATGTCTTGCTTGATTTGGAGGCAGAGGAGGAGGGAAAGGGCCGTCACCACAGCTTGCGCCTATGGTTTATATATGGTGTCCTCCACCATTCAGAGGAATTTGTGGGTACGAGAGAGATCTCAGGTCTGGTGGGAGCAAACTGTGGCGACTGATCACTTTCCTTCTCCAGGTTTCCTCTGTTGTTGTATACCACGTCAGCGTCTTCACACACACCCCTCCTTCTACGTCATTAAGTGAAGTTTTAAAAACTAATTTCGAGAGGAGCACGTGATGTGATTGAAAATGACTGGCTGCTCATTTGTAATCAGTAATAATCCAATCAGGGTGCTTTCACACCTGTGAATCGATTCAGTTGTTCCGAAACAGAGATTACAATTGTTACATTGTTGCTCTTTGCTCTTGGAGCGGTTCGCTTTCACACACTGCAAAGTTTCTAATCGGACCAAAAGAGCTAAAACAAGTCACGTGCGAGTAAACACTCCTCACATTGGTCAGAGTGTCAGGGTTTATTTTGCAGCGTCCCGCTCAGCTGTCAGGAGAGGTGTTGGTTTGGTGGTAATTGACAGGGTGCGCGCGCGACGTGTCTGAGGAGAGATGCGGTGGGGAAGGGTGAGAAGGGTGCGCGATGATGCCTATATGAGGACCGGGAGGGAGACGCGAGATTACTGGGAGATCATCACTCGTTTGCGGGCATCCGGAGACTCGTGAAACTTCCCGCCCTACTCATAATTCTTTCTTCATATAGCCGTATATGCCTATTACATATCCATAAAACACTGTGATATAACCGCGCTCGGATTGGATCGCTTTCTCATTGCAATCGAACCGCTCCAGGGTTCGTTTCAATCGAGCCGAGACCACCTCATTCAAGCGATCTCGGAGCGATTACTTTGGCGCGTAACAGAGCGCGATTGCCCTGTTCACATATGCCAAACGAACCGCGCTAACTGGGCAAACGAGACAGGTTCCGAAACAAAAGTGTAGGTGTGAAAGCACCCTCAGAGTGATCCTAGTTTACAACAAATGGATCATTTTCTCCCTATTGCTCTATCTTCATTTTGGAAGAATCCCCCCTTCTACTCCATCTTCTACTTTTCCTCCGTTTTCCAAGGGGTAGCTCTCGAGACTGATCTCGGATCCCCTTATATGCTTATTGACCGGGCGGGAGCCTTGGGCTCAAGTATCTCCGAGCTCAGGGTTCTCTCCCGGGACAGCGTGCCAAACCTCCTATAAACGCTAAGCATATCTAAGTGGGAACTCTTGAAACCACATTGTCACAAGTTTAATGACGTACAAAACGGAATGCTTCAATAAATCTGATCTGCCTGTTTCCATGACAGTCGCATTGTCACATATCCGATTTATATCCGATTTATTTTACATATGAAGGAGGCCTGAAACCGATCTGTGAATATCCGAATGAATGCGTTTTATTCGTGTTTACATGGTCATAGAATAGATCCAATCTGTGTCACATATGAGCAAAAAATCTGAATTGGGTCACGTTTTACTGGCAGTGTAAACAAGGCCTTAATACGTTTTAGTTTTAAAATGCATGAGTTTTTCTACGGTTAAGCCTTCCGTCCACACTACCCAGAAGTTTTCGTTTTCATTTTAAAACGCTGCTGCTCCGTGTCACTGTGGATGGAGGGAAAATGGAGACATCTGAATATGAAGGCAGGGCTGCAGATATTTACCCATCTGATTGAGGCTTTTCTCAATATTAAGTGCACAAAGTTTTGCATCCTTTTCTTCTAAGTTCAGACTTTGCAAGCTTAATGTGTGTCAATGTTTCATATTTTCATTGAAAAAATATGAGACCCTCTCTTTGCTGAATATCAGATTTAATAATCAATAATGGCCATTATAAAAGTGCAACACAATAAGTTAATACAATATAGGTAATAAAGGCATGCAATCAATCAAATGTGCAGAATCAATGTACGTGATTACATTAATATATTAACCTATCTTTGAGCTCAGCCAAAACAAGGTTATTATAGTTAACGAAAACGAACGAAAAAACTAAAACTAAAATGTAAAATAATTGTCGTTAACTGGAATAAAAATAAAATCGAGTTTTTAAAAAAAACTAGAACTAACTGAAACTGTATTGTGTACAAACACATACATAATCTTAATACATAATCTTACTGTAAGCCTTTTAGAAGTAAATATAATTCGCGCTGCAGATGTTTGACCCGTACGGCACCTGAGTTTGTAGTCCTGCTGAGCCGGTTCTCCTCATCGTCGCTGTTGCTCCCACGACAAAAACAACGAGTGGACATGACAGCAACACGATGACAGCATTAAATACAGAGACTTAAAACTATTACTTTAACACATTTGTACTCAATAATGGGTTTTATTTCTGTATCGCCATCGCGAACGAATCTTTTTAACCGGATTAGTTCTCTCTTATCCAGACCTTTACATTTTTGCAGCTCCCTGTCATCTGAACTGAGTGATTGACAGCTGATATTGACCAATCATTCGCATTCAGTTCAAAAGCAGTGGGCCAATCAAAAGCACTTTAAGGTGGGGCAGGCATTGCGGGCTTTGTTTACTGTAGCAAGTTGACATTTCAACTGTTTTAAACTATTTCTGAGCGCTGCGTTTTGCCGTTTTCATGCATTCTGCGTGAATTTTTCCTAAATCTGCGCATGCAGAGAATATTTTGCAGTGAAAACTTGTCGCACAGCCACCATTTTATGCACTCGCACAAATGCTCCCAAATGCATTTCGAGCGCACACAGATAAAATTTCGGGCGCATATGCAACCAAAACGGTTGCAATTTCGAGCCCTGAACGTAATTTCAAATTCAAGTTCAAGCAAAATCCAAGCACTTTTCTAACATTGAAAACACTATTTTAAAAAATCAAGCACTTTACAGGATTTCCAGCACCAGTACGAACCTTGAAATTTTAAATAATCAACCAATTTAAACCTTCATTTTAGCACTAAGTAAAAGACATAAATGTAGAAGTAAAGAAAGAAGTCACCTGTGCTTACAATGAGAATTCTGGGATCCTAAAGATAAAACAAAAGATCACATTTATTAAAACAAACTTACTGAGTGCAACTATAAGAATCTTGAGCTATATTTTAGACTTGTGTTTGAGTGTGTGCGGTTTCTTTTTACCTGCCCTCGATACTGAGCCACGTTGAGTGCAGGGAAATCCTCCGAAAATTGAGCTGAGAAATTGACCAAGTTCACGAGATGTGCACTCACATGCACCACTACAAACCCACACACACAAACAAACACACACACCATCAGCTCACACAAGAAACATTTAAAGACATTTAAAGGGAAATGTTCAATAAAAAGTGATAAAAAAACATTTAAAGGGGACTTATTATGCCCCTTTTTACAAGATGTAAAATAAGTCTCTGATGTCCCTAGAGCAGGGCTATTTAATTGGTGGCCCGCAGGCCAAACCCGGCCCCCAAGCAATTTGTTCCGGACCTCCAAATAGTGTGAACAAGACATTAAAAATAAAATTTTAGTTCAGACAAAAAACAGCCACTATATTTATGAAGTGATGTGCGTCTGTTTAATACAGCATGAGCTGCAGAGGCTGCACAGAGCGTAAGTCACCATAAGCGAGGGGCGCGGACAGCCGAAAACATTCAAGCGGTACATTTGGATGTTTATTATTAACTGCACTTTAATTCGTCACAGTTAATTAATCATAAAGGCTTATCTACGCCGCAATTCTGTTGCACGGAACAAAACGAAACTGCTGCAATTGAACAGAGTTATGCCAAGTTGCTAGCTGTGCGCTAGTTTAAAGTTCCGCGTATGTACACCGAGGCTAATACGCACACACACCGGAATAGCTACAGCAGCGGATGTTCCCACATCACGTCTTTTCCACTTGCAAGTTTGTTATTTCTAATGTATGAATATATGACAATATGTGCGCACAAGTGGAGTAATGCGATTGCGTCTTTCCAGGCGCACGCAGCAGATACTATCGGTTACAACAAACAAAACACATGTTAGATGAATTACTATTAATATGATTATGTATGCCTGAACGCAGATGGCAACAACAATTAATCTGAATAGCTATGTACTTACCCAATATAAAGCTTAAATTTACATTAGACGTGATAACCGTGAAACCATGATGATTCTTCAGACTATATAATCACAACCAAAATCTATAATCGTTCATCTATAATTGTTATGCAGTTCAAAACATAACATATGAATGCGTCTAAATGTAGAAGGAGCCTACTTGTGTTGTGCTCTGATATACATTTGAATGTTTGTAAAAAAAATATATAAAGGCTATTGTACAATGCAGTGATGTTATGTAGTTTCAAAATACAATATATTAACATTTGAATGTAGAAAAAGCCAATGTGGGTTTCTTAAGGAAAATACAGCATGTGGGCTCTTATATGCAGTTGTGTCATCACTCATATAGCCAGTCATATCTCTGCCGCCCTTCGTTTAGGATGCTTTTCATGAACAAGCCCCCATAACAAACTAATTGAATAGCCCTGCCCTAGAGAGTGTGTGTGTGTGTGTGTGTGTGTGTGTGTGTGTGTGTGTGTGTGTGTGTGTGTGTGTGTGTGTGTGAAGTTTCAGCTCTAAATACCACACCAATAATGTTTTATAACTCTTCGAAACACACCCTTTTAGGCTTTGATCCTAATTAAGTAATTTTGGTGACTGTCACTTTAAATGTAAACGAGATTGTGCTCTTTTCAAAAGAGGGCGGAGCTACAGATGCCTGTGTGTCAGCATAGTGGCAGATTTAAAACTCGAATGCTTCTCACTAGGTGCTGTTATTATGCTAATGAGCAAGAGATGGTCACTAGTGGGTGGGGCTTCACCCCTCTGATGACACGTACAAAGGGAGAATGTCAATCAAAGTGTTTCCGCAGACTGTTTTTATCAAGTGTGACTATAAACAATAGACTTAATTAATTGTAGCCATTAGTAGCTGGTTGTATTCACACAATGTTGTCACACAACTTTGTTTTAACCCCTTAGAAAAGTGATTTACGCACAATAGGCCCCCTTTAAAATGACGACACATGACAAGTATGTGCGGAAAATCTGCCTATTCAACACTCTCTTTGTTTGTGTGTGTGTTTGATTGTGTGTGTGTGAGTGTGTGTTGCAGTTGTCATGGCAACAGGATGCCTCAGAGCCCTGTAATTAGAACAAGACCACAATGCACTGAGACAGGAAATGGGAGGAGGGTTTCAGACGCAAGATTAAACCAGCTGGGAATCCCTGAGGATATTCCTGCTTTTTTAACCCCCAAACACACACACACACACACACACATGCACACGCACGCACGCACACCTGTCGGCCGGCGAGACCCTCTATGTCTGCTGCTGAAATACTAGACGTAGTTATTCAAGTCAAACTCTCAGACAGGCGAGCGATCTGTCATTCCTCCCCCATGAAGACTCTGTTTATGAGCATCTGATTCATATTGAACCCTAAATAGAGCATTCTTCTCTAAATGACAAGCTGCATCTCATTTTCTGGCTTAACAAACTGAAATTGAGCTCAAAACGTGAGCTTCTGGGGGAAGAAGTGATATGATTTTTTCAGGTTTAAAAATTGTTGGTCAAATCTTTAAAAAAAGCAAACATACTGGATACTCAGAATGATTTCTTAAGGATTGTGTGACTCTAAAGACACTGAAGTCAAAATTTAGCTTTTCATCGTTGAAATAAAATACATTTCAGAGCATAAGCTAACAGAAAAACAGTTACAGCAGGGAAAAAAGTATTGAACTATTGAACACGTCACAATTTTTCTAAGAAAACACATTTCTAAAGGTGACGACTTGAAATTGTCATGAGATATTGATAACAACCAAACAATATATATATATATATATATATATATGTATATATATATATATATATATATATATATATATATATATATAGGCAAAATTTTGCAGACAAAAGCACTATTGTTAATTTCAAACATGCAACTTTGAGCTGGTCGGCATGCCAATCTCTTCTCAAATGACAAGCTTTTTCTGCAGTTAAAAATTCCAGGCAAAAATTTTGTTCAGAACATTTCCAGGTTGTTTTTCTGGGCTTATAGCATCAAATCTAGTACATGAGACACTTCACAGCAGGTAAACGACATACTTAGGTAAATAAATGCACAAAAATTTGATTTTGATCAATTTAACAGATAATTTCTTGTCTATAACGCAGTGATGCATGATGTGCAAAAGACAATTTCTCTGGGGAGAATTAAGGTTTCTCACCTGAGAAGATGCATATAGTGACTCCACACGCCACGTGAAAAGTCTTACTCTTATCTAGCAGACGACGAACACTTCTACCAGTCACCTGTGAGAAAGAGACAACAGTCAAAACATCCCTCATTAAGCATGCCGGCGTGAATCGTTTAACATTTTGCAATGTATTTGCAGCATCTAAAGCAGCGTACATGCAATATAAACCGAGCTGAGTGATAATAGATTTTGTCATCTGAATAAGGTAATCAAACTCCAAAAAACAAGAACTTGTAATCAAGTTCATTTTAAAATACTTGTGAACAGAGTACAGTTACTTTTTATAGATGAAGTTAAGATTAAGTTGTTCACAATTCATTGATTCTCCTAATTTGTCTCTTTTTTTTATCGTTTAAACATTCATTCATTTTCTTTCGGCTTAGTCCCGATATTCATCAGAGGTGGCCACCGCAGAATGAACCGCCAACTTATCCAGCATATGTTTTACACAGTGGATGCCCTTTCAGCTTGGGGGGGGGGTGGCTGAGGGGGGAGTTGGTTATGCAAACTTTACACAGAAATGCCAACTGACCCTGCCAGGGCTAAAACCAGCGACCTTCTTACGGTGATGTGAAAGTGTTAACCACTGTGCTAACCACTGAGTCAGTGTCACCCTAAGAGATTTATATTTGAAGCTACTTTTTTTTGTGTGTGTGCTGCCCACAATTTATAAGTGATCTACTCAGCTAGTTTATGATTATGCTACTTTTCAAAACAGCAAAATGCAGAGGTATGATAATAATGTAGCTTTATTAATTAGATGCCAAATAATGGCATTGTTTTAAATATGATATTTTGATGTAAAAAACGAATTAAAGTGAATGTGATGGGTTTAATCGGTATACGTCACAAGAGAGAAATCTGTTGTTTTAATTTAATTTTTCCCCAAGGAAAAAATGGATGAGTCATTGAATGTAAGATCTTTAACATGCATTTACAAAGCAGATGTGGACTTGCATGTCATGCCGTCTTAGAGAGAGAGAGAGAGAATAACATTAGTTGATGTGCAGCTCACCCGCTGGGATCCTCGGAGGAAGGTAAGCAGAGATCTGCACATGGGCAGCAGAACAAGACTGCAGTTCAAGTTGAGAACGGAGGCCGACGCACGACTGATGCAGAGACCCAGCTGAAAAAAACAGAGACAGAGTTTTTAAACTTTTCAAACCTTAGACAGCACAAATGATGTGAAACTGTTAAAAAACACAGTTTTTTAAAGTGCATCTATCATGCAAAATCAACTTTTGTAAGCTATTTGGACAGAACTGCATGTAGTGGTGTAAAGGATCAGAAAACAGTTTGGATCACACTAGTTATTGAGTCAAGGATCGGACCTTTTTCGGATCAGGAAAAAAGGGAGGAGACAAATGACATTTGCACTCCATTTATTCAAAAATGTTACTGCAAAAAACTTTTCTTTTTTTACTCGTTTTAACAAACAGAACTTAAAAATCAAGAATGAACCAGCTGAATTATTCATTCATTCATTTTCTTTTCGGCTTAATCCTTTTATTAATCCGGGGTCGCCACAGCAGAATGAACCGCCAACTAATCCAGCACGTTTAGCACAGTGGATGCCCTTCCAGCTGCAAGCCATCTCTGGAAAACATCCATACACAAACATTTAACAATCATACACCAAGGACAATTTAGCCTACCCGATTCACCTGTACCACATGTCTTTGGACTGTGGGGGAAATTGGAGCACCCGGAGGAAACACAGCTGAATTGAAAAAAGTAAAATATTCAGTGCGAAAAATTATCTTTGCTACTGTTGCTGATAATGCTAAATATGTAAATCTAACATCTTGTACAACAGATCATATTTACTTTTAATTCATGATTCAATAATTCACAGATGAAACTCCATCTTTCATTATGGGTGGATCAGTTTTGAAAACCTATTCAGTGACATCATTTTGATGGCTGTTTGTCGCCACCTATTGGTTAAACAATGTAATTGCTATTCACCAGCATCAACTGCATTAAGCAGTGATTTTAATCTTTACCATAAACATCAGTGAGCATTTCTGAACTGTAAGCTGTTCTCCTAGTACTTCTGTGTTATTTAATTGTTTGTACCAACTGAAAAAAAGTGTAAAAACTGAATCTCTCTCGATCAAACTTAGATTTGAATGTAGCGCTTCAAAGAATTAACGGAGAACCAGCTCACTTGCATTTAAAGGGCACATATTTTACCGCTTTCTCAACATTAAAATAGTCTTCAGCATGTGTCTGTAAAGTTTCAGCTTAAAACACCCATCAGATTATTTATTTGACCTTTAAGAATGTTGGAATTTTTAGCTCGTAACACACTGTAGCTGTTTGTGTTGCCTGTGCCTTCTTTAACGCTGGTTCGCCCCACCCACCGTTTCCATGTGCCTGTCAGTATGAGACTCCATCGCTTTAAACTTTAAACTTGTAAAACTCATTCTTGATCACATTTGATGATGACTGATGATCACAGAGAGCTGAACAGATCTTTTAATCCCGGTTGCTTTGCACACGTCCTGTCTTGTGGATATGATTATAAGTGTTAGTACGGAGACATGTTAATACGCAGCTGTCAATCAATTTGGTGGCCGGTAAAAACCTGCACTCGTACGTCACATTGCGGTGGGCCTCAAAATGGGAGGGATTTGGATCCCATTTTAAAGAAAGGAAATTTATTTATGAAGTAATTTTATTTTTATTTTTATTGTGTTTATATCACCTCAAAATGACTGTGGACACACTATACATACACACAGTTCTGTCCAAACAGCTTACAAAAGAAGATTTTCATCATAGGTGCCCTTTAAAGACACAGGCGCAAATTCCCTCTGACCCAAAAATTGACATTTTCAACCGGGTTGAACTGTCTGTCAATTGTGTGCAAATACAATCTTACGGTGCTTTCACACATAGACGTTTGTTTCGGAATCTGTCTCGTTTCCCCCGTTAGCGTGGTTTGTTTGGTATATATCCAGCAGTTGCGCTCACATCCGCGCCAAATCAATCAGTCCGAGATCGCCTGAATGAGACGGTCTCTGCTAGATTGAGCGGATCGATTATAGTGGGAAAACAAAACAATGAAGCGAACTAACGACCCAGGCTATATCACAGTGTATTATGATTGTGTAATAGCCATATATACGGCTATATGACGAGAGAATGATGAGCAGGGCGAGATGTCATTCTTACCGGTAAATGCGAAAGTGAAAGCATGCTGCAATATTACCGAGAGCTGTTTATTCGTTAGGAAAATTGACCGAAGTTACCATCTGATCATTTTTCCATGTTTTAATCTTATAATATGTTGTGTTAGGCCAGTTGTTTTGTTCATTTTCGCACTGACAACTCGAAAGAAACTCAACATTGATCTGCTTCGCGATCTGATTTAGTCTCGATTCATCTGCTATGTCTCTCTACAATTATAGCCTATAATGCAGAATTCTAGCCAACGTTTCTTTAATAGATTGATTAATTTAATAGATAGATCGATTTTTACAAAACCTGACTAATGAAATGAGGCTCTGTATAAGAAAGTCTGACCTCTGCTTTATATTTTGGTTATATTTGTTAAACAGAGCAAGGAAATTTTGATAGTATGTCTGATAATATTTTTTCCTCTGAACAAAGTCTTATTTGTTTTATTTTGGCTAGAATAAAAGCAGTTTTTAATTTTTTATGAATCATTTTAAGGTCAAATTTATTAGCCCCTCAAGCTAATTGTTTTTCAGACTGTCTACAGAACAAACCATCATTATACAATAACTTGCCTAGTTAACCTAACCTAGTTAAGCCTTTAAATGTCACTTTAAACTGTATAGAAGTGTCTGGAAAAAAAATTATTCTAATAATATTTACTGTCATCATGACAAAGATAAAATGAATCAGTTATTAGAAATGAGTTATTAAAACTATTATAATTAGAAATGTGTTGAAGAAATCTGCTCTCTGGTAAACAGAAATTGAGGAAAAAAATAAACAGGGGGGCTAATAATTCTGAAATCAACTGTGTGTTTGTGTGTGTGT